GTGTGAACTGAACTTTGAACTAGTTCACGTAGAAAGAGAACTTTCCCAACACTGGTTTTTGGCATCTATCAGGTTTCAGCCACCCCTCAGAGCAGATTGGCCCCTGCCTGACAACCACTATGAACATTTTCTGGAACTGCCACTTGTCAGATACCATGCTAATAAAGCTCCCTCTGGAAATCACTGAAGCTTGGTTTAGGCTTGACCTGTCTGTTTGCATCGGGCACCTGGGAAAATTTGTAACTACGTGGACAGATCCATGCGGAAAAGATGGCGAGCGAGCAGCAGCTCCTGCTGGTTAGGGTTCGCAAATGTAAACATCTAGAGATATCCTGTGAGTTAGCTCATAAAAATCACCACTATCAACAGATTGTGAAAAAGCTCCAGAAAATGAATGACTGTCCCTCTGCATGAAGAGGCTTTGATAAAGTTGTAAACAGCTGTGTTTTCTACTTCCTGATGTAGTGTGGTGGTGTCAGCTTAAAGCTTGTGCTGAACGCCTGCCCCTGGAGCAGGCCAGAAAAGGGGGAAAGCTGGGTAGAGAAAAAGGCTGCAGACACTTTGATAGGCGGCTCATTTCCACGTGGAATGTCCGTGGGTGAAGCATAATGAGCGCTTTAGCAACACCGGGATAAAGTTCCTAGAAATGCCACTGTCACCATGACCAAATCATTTGAAAAATCTTTTATGAAAAAAATGAAAAATCTTTTATGTCTGTCAATATGCACTATCCAGAACTCCTCAAGGAAAAAAAAAAATTTGTTTCACCTGGTTTAATTTTGCAAAATGTCTTCTTTGAGGAAAATTTTGCTATCCAATTATTTATCAATTAATCAAAAAAAAAAAAAAAATCAGATTAATCGATTTGCTAAATAATCGTTAGTTGCAGGCCTAGTCTCAACGTAGTCCCATTTTCCACCCTGACATCAGCAGAACCCAATAATCCTGTACTGTAAACTGCCAAAAGCTCCTTTTTTTTATTTTGCTCACTTTTGTGTCAGTATACTGTAGGTAATTTTACCTCAGAGAACACAAAAATCCCCTGTGGCATTCCCCAGGGAACCATCTCCCCAGTTCTACAGTCCTTTCACTGGCGCAGAGAATATACTTAATACCTCCTTTAGTCTACAAATGATTGAATGGCTTAGCACCAAAACCATACCGACATGTCAGTGGATCAACCACCAAGACCGCGGTCTTCTGGCTTATGCTCACTAATTTGGAATATACTCCCAGAACACTGTAATGTTGTTGTACTGTAATGCTAAAACTCTAAGTTGATATTAAAAACGTTTGTTCAGAGTGGCCTTTGATGGTGCTATGTAAACAATATTAGTTGAGTTTTCAGTTGAACTTAATTTTTTTAACCAATTATTTTATCTCTAAATTGTCCTTAGGTGTGAGTGTGTGCGTGAATGGTTGTTTGTCCTGTGTGTCTCTGTGTTGCCCTGCGATGGACTGGCGACCTGTCCAGGGTGTACCCCGCCTCTCGCCAATAGACTGCTGGAGATAGGCACCAGCACCCCTCGCGACCCCACTCGGGACAAGCGTGTCAGATAATGGATGGATGGATGGAATTATTTTATCTTTTGTTTTCTTAACATATTTTAATTAAGTACATTTGATTCCCTTTTATTAATGAGTCTTAAGCATAAATTCAATCTGGAAGATTCTGATCAGCCTCACCTGGATCACCTGCTGGAGTCCTACCTCCAAACCTTTAGCCAATCATCCTCAGGACCGCTCCCCTCCCAGAGTCAATCGACTTAAAGGTCTCCTTCTTCAAGAGTTGTTCCTGATGTTCCTCCTGCTTACCACCCGTTTCTCCACCCCTTCTCCTCTCCAAGAGGGAATGTTGGGAAAGGCTCCATCCCTTTCATCCTGGGCTTATTCCACCATCAGTGTCTGGACAGCGTGGGGAAGATTGATCATCTGTCTCTCCTAAATCCATCAATCTGATCATCCATAAGTTCAGAAAATCAAGTCTTCAGCCAGTGTCTAAGCACCAAAACTGATATATTATTATTCTTGTCAATAAACTCTTCTAATTGTAACTTCTCTCTCTGTGAGTCTATCCAAGTTGAATTCATGTTACGGTAACTATATGCCACCGCAGTATTTTTATTGACTTACTGAAATGTGCCACATGGCCTGTAAATGGCCTTTACTTATATAACGCTTTTTCAAGTCAAGAGACTTGATCAAAGCGCTTTACATTACATTCAGTCATTCACTCGCACACTGATGGTGGCAAGCTACTTTGTAGCCACAGCTGCCCTACAGTATGTGCCATATTAATATTTGGCTAGTATTTTTTTTTTTTTTTCCCTCCAAAATCCTACAGAGAACAAAACATATTTTACATGCCTGCTTGACAAATAAAAACATATTTGAATTTGTTGTGTAAGCTTAAAACAAGAGTTTTAGACTGAAAGCCTAAAAGAAAACCACAGGTCTGCTAAGGATCGGTTAAATAAAAAGGAATTTCCAAGCACTCATCATTGCGAGGCTTTAATGAAATAAGACGTGCCTGTGAAGCATTTCGCTCTGAGCCAGAGAACCAGTGACCCAACACATGGACAGATGTAATTCATTCTCAGGACGGTGATTCTTCACGGTTGTTATCTCCGTTAAATCAGTTTAAACTGCTTCCTCTATAGGCTGTAGTTCAGATGTGATGACAGGCTAAATATGCACTGACCTCATCTAATGACAGATAAACAGTTCCCTGTGAGTCAGACTGGAGAGAGTAGCACAACCAGTGAGAGTTAGTCATCCGTGCACCTTGTTTAGTGGAGTCAGAGTAAAGACCGTGACTTAGATTGTCCTTTTAGAGACGCCCACATGCTCTGGGACGTCTGTGTCCTGTCTGGGCTGTTTCTGTGGGGCTCTGTATGGTATAATTAGAAAGCGACATCATAAAGCAAACTATGCTTCTCTTGCTCCTTGATTTTATTTTTACGAAACAGTCACTAATGAATTAATAAATGAATAGAACAATTTTGTTTAACATCCAGAACAATTGATCCAACTCGTTAATTTAAAATTAGAACAAAGCATAAAAACAAATCAAAATAATTAATCAACAAAAATTATGAATTTGCTTTTTTTTTTTTCAAAATAGCTGACTATTTTTGTAAATTTTGCTCTATTTGACAGTTGGAGCAGAGTGGGTGAGCCAGGGCACCACTGGGCCTGAAAAGCACTGTCCAAGCAGTGAAACACAGAGGTGTTAAGGGCAGATCATACTTCTGCAACAGCACACATCAAATGTCGCTTGGGTCTGATCACAAACCAGTTTTGCTGGTATGCTTCTGCACCATCGGTCTGGAATTTCTAAGGATGCACAGCAGTTTCCCACCAAAGCACAAGGGGGGAGCCTATTCGAGAACTCGCGGATGGCCACAAGAACTTCGTTTCGACAAAGGCCTTGGCATCTTTATATAATTTGTCTGAGGCATCGTACAAGTGGTTGTACCTCCGAACCTCCTCGATTAAAACTTTTGTCGCAGTTGTCCTCGGTTTTTAAAAATGGCGCGCCCCAGCACCTAATCGAGGAGGAGGACCACACAGACAGCTGGAAAGGCATACCAAGGACCAATCACAGCCGCTTTTTATCTGCACAGTCCGATGTGTAGTCAAGATTTTTTTAGGCACGCAATGACGGTTGAAGGACCTCTGTGCGGGGGCGTGGACGCGCACAGAGACAGATTTGACGGGTGCAGAGGCTATGGGTCAGAAGCATAAATTGGCCTTTAATCCTGGCACCTCGAGGTTTAATTGCTGGGACACACAGATAGTTTCAGGTAATAATATGGGGTAACTGAAACTCATTAGCAGTCTGAAAGGAAACTTTTTACTTTTGGAACTCGGGTTTTAAGATGTCACAATCAATTAGAATCCGGGTTGGCAAAAGGGCTGGTAGCCTTCATCCTGAGCATAATTCTAACCTAATTTGTGGGGGCAGAATAAAACGATTTTTTACTCTTTTAATTAAATTAATTAACTTGGGTCTAACAGATTGGGGAAGTTGGTGGAAGAACATTTCAGCAAGTCAACGTTTTATTATACAGAATAGGGCTAAGTTTGTAATAAGAAATCTCAATTTTTTTTTTACATTTTTGGATTTTCCTCTCCCAAAACCAAAACATCCACGTCTGTCTCCAGAGTTGTATTGTTTCCCTAGCTTTGGATGTTCCCTTTTCAGGATGCATTGTTGTGGGGCTTGTTTGAAAAAGTAATTACTACTATTTGCATGCATGAATCTGTTGCATGTCTTATTTCTATTTCATGTGGGAAGACTACAAATAGAGCTATTTTGAAATGCTGTTTTTATTTTGATATTTAAAATAAGGATAATTTTCCACCCACTATACAGAAGAATTCCAGCTTAATTGTAGACATTATAAAAGCTGTGAAACTCAACAACCTATATAAGATAAAGTATGTTTAACATTAAGTAACATTAAGCATTTAATAATCAAATAAAAAGTGTATAACATTAAAAACTTGTTGTTTCCTGCTTTGTTCCTGATCTTTTAGCTGGGACGGACTGAGACAGCAGTGAACAACCTAAACCCAGTGTTTGGGGTGAAGTTCCAGGTGGATTATCATTTCGAAGAGATTCAGAAGCTTCGCTTTGCCATGTTTGATGAAGACAAGTGTGCAACGCAGCTTTATGAACACGACTTCCTGGGAGAATTCATCTGTACTCTGGGCGTGGTACGGCAGGACTTTCTTTTTCTTAGATCTACAATGTAACAGCTGTTGGAAAGGTGTAATTTAATGAACGAAATTAGTGTTTGAGTAGTAGACAGTGCAGGAAAATTGACCAAGCCAGAGTAAGATAGGCTGCTGTAAACACTCTGACTTTAAGATCCAAATTCCTCTTATTGTTTAAGAATTTAGATGATTCTTTCTTTTTACATTATCTTGTAGATCGTGTCAAATAAGAAACTTCACAAACCGTTGATATTGGCCAATGGCAAGCCAGCTGGCAAAGGTTCCATCACGGTAAGATTAATACATATTTTTTCCGTTTCCTTTTGGTCTTTATAGCGTTTACTGTATTACCTCCAAAAGATAAAACACTTGACACTCAGTTTCGATTTTTTACTTTTTCAGTAAAAACTATAAACTAATGATAAAGCAAATGCTGTTAGTTTTTCATAGAATATAACAAACTCTTAAATTGTTTTGCTCTTTTTGTTGTAATATAGAATTTTTCACTGTTGCTTCCTGCAATGGGGAAGCAATTTTTGTTTTTGATTGTTCTCCACGGTTTGTGTTTGAGTGATTTTCTGTGCATTTACTTCAGATAACAGCACAGGAGCTGTCTGACAACAGAATCATCACTTTGACCCTGAGTGGGCGTAAACTGGATAAAAAGGTGGGCAGTAAGAGCCACACATTTGCACACAAACACAAAACCTGTGGATTTACTCTGAAACTCAGAATGCATACACAAACAAGCATGCATGTAAATAGTGCAGTGCATACTAATTCAAACACAAAACCCACACAGAAAACATTCCATGAAAATGTTTTACACCAATTTTTTTTTGTCTTTAAACTCCAGAAATTCTGGTGCATTTTTTAACATACATAAACAGTGCATGATGCCTTAGTTTTAGCATTTGAGTCCGATTCTAACATCTGCTCTGCTGAGAAGAGCTATTTAAATACTGCATTTAAACAGGAGTCATTCATTGTCTTTTTATATCTGTTTCTTGCAACGTTTAATTGCATGCACAGCTTCTCTCTTTGCTTCTCTCTATCAGTAAAATAAAGCTGCCTGAATCGAGCAAAATTTAAACTGAATAGAGCAACTGCTGAGCAAAATCTCAATTTGCTTTCAGCTCATCAGGGCGTGTACCTGCTGCGTACCCTCCTGTTAAACCACCAGGATGCATTTAGAATAGTAACTGCTGCAGCTGAAATGTTTTGCAAAGGCACCACTTCAGTTAATATGATATTCTGGCAGAGCTCAATGTTAGGGTTGTTATTACATTTAGAAAGAAATTAAGGAAAATAAGGTCGATAGCTTTTTAATTGTGGTGTTTGCAGGACTTCTTTGGTAAATCAGATCCCTACCTGGAGTTCCATAAACAGGGAGAAGATGGGAAATGGATGCTGGTACACAGGACAGAGGTTGGTCCTTAATTTGAATTAAACTCAGTCTACCGTGAATCACATACTAGTTGCTGTCAGTAACTATGTGTCATAAGAAGACACGGAGCACAACTTATGCCTAGTATAATAACTTAAATAGCTTAGTGAAATTAAAACAACACAGTTTCAAAATGGTCACATTTAAATTTGCAAAAATGTGCTCAAATTTATGAAAGTCTGTCTTTTCTTTGCTCTCAGTAAGTGCTCTTAGTCTTAAAACTCTGCTTATATGTCTTGCAAAGTAGCTTTGTTCTCTAAGAACAAACACCATTCAGAAACAAACTTGCAACAAGTATTGACTCCTAAATGAACCATCATGACACTTTCATCTTGACTACCATAAAACAGATAAATCCCATTAAAGCTACAAGTTAATGTTTACTTACAAAGGGACATCCAATGGACCTCAGGTAACAAACATAAGGTAAAGGGAAAAAATAATAAATAAGGAAAACTTTTCCAGTCTGGTGATGATATAGCTTAAAACACCCATCTCTCGCAGTCACACTCTAATTCCACAGCTCGTTTAAAGTGGGCGAAACTGAACAACAACATTTACCTGAATTTATTATTTTTTTCCCCTGTTCAGTTTAATGCTCCTTAGTAGATTCTTTGAAGTTCCTAAGTGGATCATATCTTAAAACTCTTCAGTCTTCCAATTAGATTTTAATCTGACATCTGTGGTGTTGCTATCCATGGAACTGGACGCTGAGTAGGACTCTGTTATTCATTGAAAAGCTAAATATGCAATTAGATTTCTTTAATAGTAAAAATGAGATTCATTAGCTTATCTAACTCTAGTATTATATAATTAATACTTAAGCTGAAACCAAGTTCCATCCCCGCAGCTGCTAATGGAAAGGTTAAAGGAAAAATATTTACAATGTGTGCAGAGAACAAAAAAAGACTAACAAACTAGGAGCAGTAACTGCAAGCTCAGGATGTGTTGTAGGGAGGATCCTGTTTACTGACGATCCGAACTCAGATAACTCATCATGCAAAACATCCTAAAATAATCTGTAACCTTTCTTTGCTATTTGTAGGTAAAAGCCAATTAGCAAAAGATGTCCACTAGCTCATGTTTATGTGTTCTTCTATTCAGCTACAGTTCATAATTGCTGCAGTTAAATCAAATGATGCTAATTCTGTGACTTTAGGTCATAAAGAACACATTGGACCCGGCGTGGAAGCCTTTCACTGTGCCTCTCGTTTCTCTTTGCAATGGAGATGTGGACAGAAGCATTAAGGTGGGTTCTTCTGACCTCTTTGTTCATTTTGTCAATTTCGCTACCTAATGAACATTTTAAGTAGAAAAAAAAATTATTAACATTAAACCATACTGCAAGAGTCCCTGGAGCCTGGTGATAATGTTTGTTCTTATGTGGAAAAGAACAACCCAGAGGAATGAATAAAGGATTTTCTGTGAGGAAACAGGCTGATCGATCTGCTCACCGACAGGTGCTGTGTTATGATTACGATAATGATGGAGGCCATGACTTCATTGGAGAGTTTCAGACCACAGTTTCCAAGATGAGTGAAGCACAAAACTCTGTGGAGGTAAACAATAATATTATCAATGGTGTGTGTTATCAATTGTGCTCCATGTCTGCAATGACATTCAGTGTCTCTAAAATCATAATATCTTGTCAAGTTACAATTCTGTGTGAAGATCTAAATTGTTGGGCATTTTCTCTTTTCTTTCAAGTAGATAACCTTTATTCTATTATCTTACTCCTATTCCTGTGAAGGTTTGCTGCTCTTTTGCTTGTTTTTTCCTAAATCACCCTATATGTAAAATCAACAGTGAAAAAAGTCACTAAAGATATAGTGGAGGATGTTCTTTTTCTGGGTGGATCATCAAAATTAGTGGTCCAAATTTTCAATCATTCTGGTGATATGTTTACATGCATGAGGAGAAATGGGCTTGTGCACACTCTCACACGGGTTTAATAGGCATCTCTTCTCGGCAGCGGGTACAGGGTTATGCAGGTGCATTTTTTTTTTAAAAAGTGGAGAGGGCGGGTATTTTCAAAAATTAGCAAAAATCCTCCAGATTACCTTTAAACCTGCAAAACATCAATATGTCACTTGCTTTCCTTAAAAACTGATAAATGTCAAATATAAAGAAAGAAACATTGAGACATTTTATACAATAAAAAAAAAAACTTATGAAGCGAAGAGGAAAAAAAAGGCCACTTGAAAGCAAGTTAAAAGTTTTGACAAATTTGACTAAGAATTTCTCTCTTAAACACTTTTTCAGTATATTGTTTCTGAGTCATGGAAGTTTGCTGCTAGTTTAATCACTAGGACAAGAAGTACATTTCCCCAAGAATCTGAATCTCCTTCGTAAATGTCTGCAGAATGAAATTTTTCCTCTTAAATGATGTCAAGTTGGGTGGGGGTTTGAGAGGAAGACCCAAATGCAGTGACCAAAGCTGATTATTTGCAGATTTAATATCAAATAGTTCAACAGAAGCAAAATCCACAAAACAAATTGAGAGCTAAAACTAATTGATAAGTACTGGTAGATGGATTTTCTGTCCAGTTTAACAGAGCTTTAGCTGAGTTGTGACACAGTTTGCTAAAAATAAATGAACAAATCAAAAAGGTATTATTCCTTTACTCCTTAAATGCTGCTTTGTTTTTTGTCTGGCTTATGTAATTCTTACAATCTAAAGAAATACATATGCCATACATGTTTAAGTAGTATGAATTCTTTAAGTAGACCGAATGCTGCTGTGATTACAGGGTTTTGGGCATAAGGATTTTGTCTAAGAAACTCAGTCATGAGGAATTGATAAAGTCTCAAAAGAAAATCAGCTTCTGAACACAGACTGGAACATTTCAATTACATGAATGTTATTTATTCATTGAACACTGGACTTCCACATATCTGCATCATCCTGTCTAAACTAAACCAAAATCAATTAAGTCCCATCATCTTGCTGATAATCCTGATCCCTGTTTTCTCTCTGAGTTTCTGTCCTCCTGCCTCCTGTCAGCTGAAGATAATATGAAGGCTTCCAGATCAGAGCACAGTTTATTCATTAGCAGCTCCCTGTGTTTTCTCTGTGTGGATGTGTCAAGGCAGCCTCGTGGCTCCTTCTCCCACTGACTCCCTTCATGTGTGATAAAGATGTGTGCGTTAGCGGGGTGGGGATAACAAGCAAATAGCGACACAGGCAGGAAAGAGTGATGCTGGATGGAGATGCAGCTAAAAAAAAAGGAGGGTGACAAAATGAGAAGTGCTTTTGCTTTGCTTTTGAGATGTAAAGCAGCCTTTAGCTGAGCTGGAGTAACACGACACAATGTTAAGAGCCACCTGTCATATGAATCAGGCGCTGACTTAAAGTGATTTTGCACAGTACGTTTCTCAAATGTCCTATTTTGATCAAAGACTCTTCAATTTAAAGTGCGTTGCTGTGAATTTGTCCATTGTAGAAAAAAGTGCTCTTTTTTTCCACCTAGATCACTACAACTGTTTTCCTTACAGACATAGGTGCAGATATAAAGACTTTGCTGCACCAGAGTGTAGCACAATTGGCCTTTAAATAATCTCTAAGTTTGCCTGTCCAGTTGGAGCTAACGTAGGCGGTGTCTGGAAACTTCCCAATTCCGGTCATAGATCCCTGTCTCCTCTTTTCAGCTCTGCTGTCCTTTTTCACTTTCTAAATGTGTCTGTTTCTGATAGTTTTTTCTGTCCTGACATTTCCTCTCACATTTGCTTTCACTCCTCAGGTGGAGTTCGACTGTATCAACCCCAAGAAACAGAAAAAGAAGAAAAACTACAAAAACTCAGGAGTCATCATTGTCAAGTCCTGCAAGGTGATGGATGGATGGATGGATGGATGGATGGATGGATGGATGGATGGATGGATGGATGGATGGATGGATGGATGGATGGATGGATGGATGGATG